GTTGGGAACGAAAAAGTCCTTTCACTTTAACCCCCTCCCCCCCCCCTCACACACACACCAAACGTGAGGTCCGGCAAGTTGATAAAATATTTTTTGTATTACTAATAAATAGGCTTATATTCATCGATAAATTTTAATAGTATGATCTCTCAGTGTTCAAAAGTTATGACCATATAAAATTTGTTAACCCCTCAAATTGAGGAGGTTACAAATTTTATATGGTAAAAAACAAATATATTATAAAATAACACAAACTATAATATAATACGCAATTTAATATTAAATAAATAGATATTCAGAGACGCAATCTTAATGCCTCATTTTGTTAGAAAAAGTTTATTAAATCTTTATTTGTTAATAAATACATAAAATCTTTATTTATTAGTTCTCTCTGATAAATACATAAAATCTGAAAAAAATAAATTTAAAAAACATAATCATTTACCGATATAATAATTACAACATAACATTTTAATATAATGAATGATAACACCAATGCTATAAAAGTTTTTTTACTAGTAACAAAAAAAACTGACTTTTTTTGTACTATGATTTTTATTTTTCATATATCAAGTTGATAAAAGTTTTTTTTTTCATATTTTATATTTATTTTAACTTTGTTTAAAAGTTAAAACAATTTAATTACAATTACTAGAAGCAAACTATTATTAATAAGTTACTTATTAATAAGTTTTTTTTTATTACCAACTCTATACAAATGTTCATCAAAGCTAAACCATTTGGGTGTTCATGTACCATCGTGCTTCGCATATAGTTTTTCAGGCAAAAGAGTGAAGAAAATGTGCACACATTCACTTAAAGTTAATAGAAAGGTAGCAAGTAAATTTTTAATGCTTTCACAAGCAGGAAAATTTATCACTTTTAACAACTTAGTAATATTAAAACGGATATCATCTTTTTTAAATTTGACCAGAAAGCTCCCATAAACCAAGCTCACAAGGTAAACCAAGCTCACAAGGTAAAGAGAGCTCAGTAAATCTCTTCTATAAAAATCATTAAAAGATATGATGGAATCCTTCTAGCTAGTGTTACAAAAAATTGAACTTCTGAAATTATTTTTGTGGGAACTAGCACAAAGTTCTTGAAAAGTATCCAAACTATTTACTTTTTCCACCCAACGTGTTTTGCAAACACCTTTTAACTGTTTTATTTAACGGAACAGTACTTTCAATATGATTCTCTTTTTATTTAACAACTCTTAACTAGTGACACCATTTGTGCAATCTAAAAAACTGATAAATTCTTCTCTTATTAAACTTTGAATCAACAAAACATATAAATAATAATAGTTGTCTATACTTTAGCAGTTAGAGGCTTTATCAGCAAAATAAGAAAAATTTTTAGAATTTTAAATATTTTTTTATAATTGTATCAGAAATAGTTTTTTCAAATACTTTATTACCTGATGAAGTGATGTCTTAGTTATGTAAGAAGTATTTTTCTATAATGTCTAAGTTGATCTTGACAAGTTTTATCATCAGCTTTAACACGGAAATGTTGCAAACACGTGATTTTTAAGAAAACTAAATCTTTTACAGTGGACAAGGTTCGTATCTTTACAAGAAATTTTTTAGTAATAAACTTTTTTATTTATTAACTTTATTTTTTATTAATTAAATTAAATTTATTTTTTTAAAAGATTAATTTTGTCATTTTATAGCATAATTTTTTTAACTTCATAATTAAGTGACATTTTCAACTAAAATTTATAAGATCAAACAGTAGGCGATATTTTATATCATTAATAAACCAGGGTGTTTGTGTTAAAGGGCGTTCGACAGTGTTTTTTTTTTTTATAAATAAAGTCTTATTATTTATAAAAAAAAACACTGTCTATAAATCTTATTATAAATAAAATACTTAACAATTATATATTGAAAACCAAACTAAATAAAAAGATAAAGCATAGAAATCTCATGATTATTGCAAAATAAAGAATTTTGACTAGGGTTTATATTTATTTGGGGACGTCCAAAAATTTTTATCATTAAAGAAATTATTGCTTTTCTAAAAAATCAAATAAAAATTTAAAACCGTTTTTAATCATTTAATACAATATTATTGGGGACGTCCATTGATTCATTTAATTATATTTTATTTATTTAATATAACTTTAACCTCCAGTTGAGAAATTTTTATAAACTTCAAAACCGCTCTAAACAAGAAGCAACTTTTTATTTTTTAATTTACATGACAGTTAAGTAATCAAGAATTTTTAAGCGCAATATTACAAAAATTTTATCAATTTTTTTTTTAAACTCAATTTTATTTTTTGTATTTTTAGTATTTTGATCTCCTCTTATACGTCTTGTTTCCAGAGTTGTGAGGCCCAACTTTGTCAATCTTTCGGTATAACTTTGATGTTTTAGTTCAGGGGCTAGCTTTGTTGCTCGTCTTTGAATTTTTTCTAGGTCATTGATATTGTTTTTATTACTTGGACTCCACACTGGAGCTGCGAATTCCAAGTGTGGTCTAACCAGCGATGTGTATGTTGCCTTACCATTTCAGTGTTAAGATAAGTAAAGCTTTTTCTTATTAAACACAATTAAAAAATATAACATCAAAAAGCTTCTTTTATTAACACTTCTTAGTTTTATTCTAAATAATCAAAAACATTGGAAAGTTTTTTGTTTAATGCTTTTTTCTGTAATAGCTAAGTCTACTTTCGCTGCGGTTGATTACAAATATATTTCAAGTTTTTTATACCTGAATATAAAAAATAAAAGTTAAAATTAAAATACTCATAGACATGTCTATGGCCTGTGATCATTAAGCCTGCGAGATGTCAAATTTTACGTTTTTTTGATGAGAAAAAACGAATAAATTACTTAATAAGGTTCATCTTATTCAATGTGTCTATCGGTAAGTAACATTATTTTATAAATTTCAACCCATAGGCTCTTTTAAAACATGATAATACAAAAAATAAAGCGATTGTTTTCTATTAGAAAGTATGGGGCCATAAAACTGTAAAATAGTACTACATTGCGACGTAACCAATTCCAAAAACATTTTTTTTATTATTAACAGTCAATTTTTAAAAGATATGTGTAAATATAATACTAGGAGATCCAGATTCGATACAAAGCTATTATTTATTGACACTTAAGAATGACATTTAAAAAAATATATTATCTGGATTTCTGAAATGTAATTTTGACTATTGGATGCAATATTTGGGTTATAATTATTAATTTGTTTTTCTTTCAAGTAAAAATCTGCCTCTTCTCTACGTTTGATACTTTTATTTACTTTTTTAACGCGTGTTTTTTAATTTTATAGTTAGACATTTTAACAAAAATTTTGTTTATAATTAGATTAGTTATACTAAATATAAGAGTACCTGGTTATCAGTGAATTTAACGAGTCTTATCTCTAGATTAGATAATTATCATATCTCAGATTGAGTCAAAAAAATAAGGTCAAGGAAAAATAGATTTAGACTGTTAGCTAACAATTGATGTAACGACCTCACCGATAGACCCACAGTAAAAATAAAAACAATGTAAATTTACTATAACATTTTCACATGTAAGCTGACAGAAAACTTTTTTTTTAATTATATTATCAGCTTTTAAGAACCTCCTATAAATTTTTATAGCAAAAAATTATAAATTTTTAGCAAAAAATGAAAATACTCCTTTTTAGTATTTTCATTTTTTGCTAAAAATTTATAAATAGAGTAGGCGGCTGAAAAAAGCACTTGATATTCAAAACCTTTAAACGTAGAAGGGAGAACTTTTATTATTTCAAATGAAAAAAATATTAATAATTAAATGATGAAATCAACATATGCGATAACGACAAATAACTAATTACAAAAAAATTATATATTGTTAAAAATCTTTTTCTTTATGAAACAAAAGTATTGTTTTCGAAATACATGCATGCATACATACATACATACATACATACATACATACATACATACATACATACATGCATACATACATACATACATACATACATACATACATACATACATACATACATACATACATACATACATACATACATACATACATACATACATACATACATACATACATACATACATACATACATACATACATACATACATACATACATACATACATACGTACGTACGTACGTACATACATACATACATACATACATACATACATACATACATACATACATACATACATACATACATACATACATACATACATACATACATACATACAAACATACATACATATATGTATATATGTATGTATGTATGTATATATATATATATATATATATATATATATATATATATATATATATATATATATATATATATATATATATATATATATATATATATATATATATATATATATATGTATATATATATATGTATACATATATGTATATATATATATGTATATATATATATATATATGTATACATACATATATGTATATATATATATGTATATATATATATATATATATATATATATATATACATATATATATATATATACATATATATATATATATATATATGAATATATATACATATATACATATATATTTTATGTGCATACATTCAATTCGGAAACGATACTACATATACATAAAATATTGTTAACAATTATTATAGCGAATCTGTAATACGCAAATAAAGTAATTTAGATCTTCATAAGGGCATCGTGAAAAAAAAAAGTAAAGTAAATAAATATTAAAAGGTTTTAAAAAAGTTTGATAAAAAAATATATATATTTTTATTTTGTGTTTATTATTTTCTCAAGATAATCCTTGCTCAAACATTTTAAAACTGTTTCTTTTTCTCAAAAAACTTTTTTTTTTATTTGATATTTAAATTTAGACATAATTGCGAGTGTTAAACTCTCCGGCATACGCACACATGCTCTGGGTGTGTTTCCTTGATTTTTGCACTTTTAGCATTGAGGCTTTACACGATAACATTATAGTTTTTTTCTTATTTATCAATTAAAATTTTCTTGGTTCACCTGCCTACAAATAATTTTTCATTTTGTTTCAATGAATAGTTATTTTTTTATTTTTGCATTCCGTACGCGTTTTGCTGTGAAATATCCGGATTTTTTTTGTTACGAAAATTTCAACAAGAAGTAAAAGAGGTAATAATCATTCGTAATTAAAAAAGTATTTTTTTATATCTGATAAAAGTTGAGTAAGAAAAATTGTTCTCTTGGAATTTTTTTTTTTGATTGTTTAAAATAAGCATAAGAGTTTTTTGATAAAAAGCGTTTCTGAAAATGTTCAAATAATAACATTTTTTCCCTTTAATTTTAACTGTTTTTCAACCTGAAATCTTTTGCACCTGCAAAACAAGCTTTGTTTGTTGTCGTTCTTATAAAATGCGGTGTTGTTTTTACAAAATGCGGGCTCATTTAATACATCTTTAATGAAGTGATTTTTTTTTTTTTTTTTACAGTAAGGAAACTAGAAAATACAACATGTTATTAATTTCCCGTTGTGGTTAAAACTACTATATTTGGGCTAATGTCATTAGATCCCAACTATTGCGAAAAAATTTATAACAAATTACTAAATAAAATTGCTACTTTTGTTATCAGAAATAGATAATAAAATAAAAAGAATTTAAAATAAAAAGACAGCAGTTTTGAAGTTTTCATTGAAGCATATACAAAGTAATGCTGTTGTCATTTAGCTAATGGGCGGTGAGCCGATGGGTGGTGGAAGGTCAGTTATTTCTCCTCATCCGCAACACAAACCGCAAGAAAAATTGCCGAAGACCTCTTACTTTTGCTGCAACAGGTAAGGGTTTGTTAACATATGATTTAATCGACAAGTTTATAAGCTATAAGACTTTTCATGCGAAGTTCTTAAATGTTTCGTAGGACGCAGTATGTACCTGATGAAGTTGATAGGTAGTATGTTTCTTTATTTTTTCATTTTCAAATCGCTTTTTAAGTTTTAAGTTTTATAAGTTCATTTTAATTTTTTTATGCGATGATTTGTTGTAAAAAACATATAGCGGAATTCCTTAATTAATTATTTATCAAAAATACAATTATTATATACGAAAAATAAAGATATATGTATAGTATAACTTTTTTTATTTTTTATTTTTGTTCTTTAATCATTATAAATTTTTGATATATAGATAAAATCTTTTACAAAGTATTGAATTCATTTAAGATTTAGCATTAATTTTGAATAACATCGTTATTCAAAATTAATGTTAAATTTATATAAAAAAAAAAAATAAACCAATTCTTTCAAAAAAAATGCTCATAAAAATGCAATTAGTAGTAACAGCGGGAACACACAAACCTACCACTTATCTTTTATCCCCTAACTCTCTCATTACTTATTACTCAATAACTTCAAAAATAACATAGCTAATATACTAAGTTAGCCCAACGTCAAAACGTCAAAAACGTTGTCGTTTGTTGACGTCGACGTTTTATTTTTTTTCAATAAAAAAACAATTTGTTGTGCAATAAAACGTTATTTTATTGCAAAAATAATTGTATTTACTTAAAGCAAAGGAACGTTAAAATAGCTTGACAGGCTTACATTTCAATAATTGTTAATTTTTTAAACAATTGTGTTCTTTAGTGTAGCATCCTCTTTTGCAAAGAGTGAGTAGATAAAAATATAACAAAACATTTACTTTTTTAACATCTTGCTGAGGACAATTAATCTTAAGTGCTCAAAAAAAAAAAAAAAAAAAAAAAAAAAATTAAAATCGAAAAATTTATAAAAAAAAATTATTTCAAACAGTTTTTGATTATTTGTTAAAATATTTACTAGGATAGATTAAGCGTCACTTGTATTGTAACAGACATAAAGCGACACCTAAAAAATTTTATAACAAACAAAAACAAAGAATGTAAATTTGGTAAATCCTCAAAATTTTAACATTTATCAAATAATTTTTCTATAATATAATAATAATCTAATAATAATAATCTAATTTACTTAATTTAACTTTGCAGTCGTAGCGCAAAGATAACTTTGCAACGCAACGATGCGTTTTTTAAGCGAACATTTGTAGAAAAGTACCGTACGACGGTAAAGCAAAGAACTCTGTTTTGAGAAGAAAAATATAACATTTTCTCGATTAAAAAAATTGCAAACACTTCTTTAAATTGTTTATATTGTATTTTACTGTTAGTTTTCTTGAAACAGTACCATTAACTCTGAATTCAAAAATGAATACAATGACTAAGAATTTTAATGAAACAGCAGTACTTTATACGCGCTAAACTGAAATGTTAACCTAAATATTACCTTTTAGTTAGCATATTAAAATATTTGTTTTAGTATGCCATATAATCTATGTATTGTGTATTTGATGTAATCTATTAGATTGACTAAAAGTGAATGAGCAATTTTTTTTTTAATTCTAAAAAGTTTCTTGAACTTTTAAGAAGTTTTCATAATTTGAGTAAACGTATGTATTGAAATCGCCTATAAGGTAAACTAAATTTCTGCGTTGCAATTTTTATATTATGCGCAAAAAGGAAAACGTTTAGGACCATATACAGGACTGCCTGCCTTATTAGTTTCAGTCGGGTTACAGAACAGACGAAGTTACCTAAAATATTTGCAATCATATTGAAAATCCAAAATTAACTAGGCGCTGCTTAGCAAATAAATTTGAATGCATTTGAGGTACTATAAAACACAACTTTCGCGTGTTTGGATCTAAACTTAACTGAACGCTTGTTAACTAAGTTAGCAATCAAACACCTGCATGTATCGCTTGTCTTTGCATCACACGTTTAACTTGACCATGTCATCACCGGAGATGAAAAGTAAGTACTCTATAAAAACCACACCAGAAAAAGAGGTCATAGAAAATGATGGTGCATATACTGTTGAAAATAAGGTATGGAAAAATTAAATTAATAATAAGGGAGATGGAGGCGCATTGATTACTGTAGCAGTATTTTGTATAATGCAAACTACCCATTTTAGATATTAATTATGCTTATTAATTACAAAATACTTATTAATTACAAAACTAAACTAGAACAATCTGTTTTTGAGTAAACATAAATATTTTGATAAAAAAATTTGATGAACATAATACATTTCAACTTTACAACAACCCTTACAAAAGATCAATGTGCCCCATGCGCTTTGATGAGTAACATTATTTACACTTTTAAATTGCTATACCTAAGGGCTATAAATACTTTTATTGAAGAAATTAAAAAATTATTAAAAAATAAATTTTTATTAAAAAAATAAAATTGTATGTATGAAAACAAGCCCGTTATATAACATATTTATGTATAAAGTTATATACTACTAACATATATATGTATAAAATTGTATACTACTAACATAAAAGGCCGGCGCGAGTAGGTGTCACGTGGAGGGGGGATGTGTGTGTGTGCCATAATCACTTTTGCCGATTAAAAAAAAAAAAAAAAGTCCTCGTTTTCGAAAACTTGCCGACTGCATGACGACATTTGCCGACTAACTGTTAAAACTACTGACTACCCTATATCGAAAGGGTCGACATTTGCCGACTAACTAGTCGAAAAAGGTCAAATTTGCCGACTAAGGGTCAGATTTGCCGACTAAAAATCATTGAGGGGGGGGGGGGGTTCACCCCTAAGCCCCCCCCCTCGCGTCGGCCTTGCTAACATATAATATGTATAAAGTTGTATATTTTGTTAAATTTTATATTACGTAGTGGAATTTGTAAAATTCTTATGTTATGTAAACAGAGAAAGAAAGTAAAAAAAAAAAGTATACTACTAACATATATATGTATAAATTTATATACTACTAACATATATATGTATAAAGTTCTATACTACTAATATATATACGTATAAAGTTCTAGAAAACCTGAAGTTTATTAAGTCTATAAGAACACACTATTTTAAGTTTACAAAGACTATATAAAGTACAAGACTAAAGTTTATAAGATTGTTTTTTTTTATATAAAGTACAAGATTAAAGTTTACAAGATTGTTTTTTTATATATCATCATCATTTGTCGAAGTCAATTCGTGAAGCTGCTTTTAATTTACAACATTTTTTAATCCTAAGCAAGAGGTTTTAACATCTCCTTTTTTTTTATCTTTTGTGATGAGTTTCTTATGTTGGTTAGTTTGGTTTAGTGTTTTCTTTTCTTCCGACGAACGAATTTCATTTCTGGAGTATCAGTCAAATGCTTTGGCTAGGGTTTCAAAAATTTTAGACCTTATTATTTTTTACAGCAAACTCATTTGCCAATAATCGTTGTTAACTTTGTGTTGATCCTCGTTCTGCTTATGTGGTTCTTTCAACTTGATTATTTCACCTGCTAACACTTTAACTGATTTTTGTACGGTTGTTAAACCAGTTTTGTACGGTTGTTGAACCAGTTTCATCAACATTATATAAGCAGTAAGGATCAAATTTATATTGCTTACTTACTGTTTTGAGATTTTGAAAAAATTTAAAAGTCCATAGTTCATTTTTGACGCAAGTAGTAAATAACTTGATAATATTTTTTCATCTTCTTCAGTAAAAACTTGTTTATTTTTGTAATTAGGCTTAAAAGATTTCATTTAGATTGAGCTTTTTTTTATGAAAATATCTTTTTAAAGTCATTCAATTTATGCTTAACTTGCGAGCTACAACATTCACTGGTCTTCCCTCTAAAACTTCATCAACATCTGTTTTAATTGCATCACGTGGTATTGCAACTCTATCTGTTGTTGCTTTTTTCTATACCTAACCATGTTAAGATCTGAAATTAAAAATATTTTAACAGTAAAATATTTGTTTTAAAATGAAAAAATTTTACATAATAATATTATGTAAACTAATTGTAAAACTTCTGTAAAACTAAAAATTAATATTGTTAACAAGTCAACAATCAATGTGCCCAAATAGTTACAGTTGACATATTGATGCCAATAACTTCTGTAAATATTGTAACCAAATCAAAAAAACAAATTTATTATATACTTAACACTTATAAGTTCACAATAAAATGGTTGTAAATTCACACGAAAAATTAAAAATTTATTTGAATTTTTTCTATTTTTAAAAACCACTTTCCGTGATGAAAAACTGTATATATTTTTTTTCTTAACGCAGAAGTTGATCTTATAAAAAAATAAAACAAACAATAAAGGATAGTATAATTATGGTAAATTAAATTACAATTGCTGTCAAAAAAAGGAAAAAATAAACGAGTAAAAGCTAAAAGATCATACTGTCTCGGCGATCAATGCGCCCCTATTTTCCCTAAATACGTTTCTAGAATAAAAAATACTAATTACTTTTACCCAATTCAACATATTAGGCGCTTCCGTTCCAGAATTTAATTTCACTGTAATCTTCGAATCATTCGAATATTTTCTTATCACTAAATTTATTATTATTATTTAGTAGGTACGTGAGTAAAAATTTAAAATTTAAATATTATACTGTTTATTAATTAAAATTAATTTAAATATTATACTGTTATATATCATTGGAAAGAGGATCAGTACAGTATTTTAAAGGTTTTTTAAAATTGTTTCAAAAGTTATGAAGGTTTAAGTACTGATTTTTTGATATACGGATTTGTTGAACAGTGAACTACAAATTTATATTGACCACTAACAATCGGGCGTGTTCAGGGGATAGAGGAAACAACAAAACACTACCTTTACCATAAAAAATTGAACATTTTTTTTAGAAAAAAGTCTTTTTTTAAGACATAAGTAATTTAAATATACAAAAAAGTTATAAATTTATATTGAACCACCAAAGTATATGAGAGGCGTATGTTAACGATGGAGGTGGGTGTGGTGGTGATGGTTTGATACACCATAGTATCAAAAATGATTTGTTTTCGATATAAGTATTTTTATCTATACTAAAATGAATTCAATTAGTATACAATATAAAAATATGTTATACAAGA